TGCTTAAGACCTCATTTAGTTCAAGGAAACTGTATGTACCTTTGTAATAACGAGAAGAGACAAATCCATGCGATTCTTAAGAAGATCAGAAATAGTATTTTTAACATACTGAACAGCTCCAGGAACATCTCTATCTATCAATAATTTGTGAAGGCTTTCAGTTACAAGGTTCTTTACCAAGAGACAATTATCCCTTCGCACTGTTTCAATTCCTGTGCACGAAAGCAAAACAATGGTGTCACTGTCAAGGTAACAATTCCCAGGACAGTGATGGTCCTAATAATGACACTGCTGAACTTGTCTTATTGTTTGTTTAGGTTTGTCGTTTGTGTACAAGTGTCTATGGTGGTTGTGATGGGGACAATCAAATAGGACATGTTAAAGAGCAGTTTCCCATTCACTTACCTTTAGCATCCATTTTGTCAAATTTATCAGGATTGGTCCATAAAAGGCCAGCATATCTCTTCTTGCTGATCAACAGATATGGATAATAAACCTTCTCAAATTCAAGTTTTATAGGCTACAAAAAGAAAATGTACCACTATGAGACAAGAACAAGAAAAGATGAGCTGCAGAAACAAGAAGGTGGCATCAAGAAAAACATTAAGATCTTAGCAGTAAATATTATCAGGAAGAGTACAGAAAATTGACTAAAACATCATTACTACATTATAAACCTTGGGAAAATATATACTAAAAAAGATGAAGTTTAATCCACTCTTAGCCTTAAATAGTAAATCTTGTTTCTTAAAATTGATAGGTGAAAACACAATACACGCACACGTGCAAACACACACACAGATACATACATTTATCATAGTAGGTTCAAAGATTCTGACGAAGTTGTTGAAAGAAATTTTAAGGTGCAGTTTGATTGGCTGTAATAACATGCAATGTAATGTGCTCAGTTATATTTGATGTGTAAGGTTCCATTAACAACAACAACATTAACACATGACCTCACAGGCTCCCACCCATTGCGGGGTAAGAGAGACATTAATGGCAATGTTTTAAATTCAGGTAAATAATGGACTAAATCAAAATGGCATACTAAATTTCCTTTCTTACTTTATATGAAGTTTTGGGTAGTAAATGCAGCAATGCATCAAGGTTTTAACCGAAACCTCTATTTTTACAGAGGTAAGGCTACACACATCTTGGCTCCTCAAATTCTCAAACCCCAACGGACATTGCGTTTTGTTATTGTGTAAACTTAAACTACACATGCTTTTGATTATAGCGTTGAACCCTAACAAACACCATTGCAAAGAAAGTAACTCATTCCATTAAAGTCACAAAAGACAGGCCATCCCATAAAAATGTCCGCATAAGTAATGTGATTGATAATCAGAGGTGTTCCTCATTATACATTATTACATAATACAACATGACTATATATACATAAGAAGGGTGCTAATATAAGGAAACTAAATCTCCCATATTAATGCCTAAATCACCCATATTAATGGCCAGATCAGATCCTGCCATATTCTCAGGACTTAACTAAAATACTAATATTATTACTAATAAACTGACTATGGACAAATGTCTTGAGTGATGAAATTCCTGCAAAATCATTTCCTGTAATAATGATGTCATCTACATAAACAACCAGAAAGATGATTCCACCCCTAGATTGCTTATAAAAGACAGAATGATCAGATTGGCCTTTCACCATTCCGAACCGCTCGATTACTTGGCTGAATTTGCCATACCATGCACGAGGACTTTGTTTTAGTCCGTATAAAGATTTATGCAGCCGACATACCTTCCCATTCTCCCCCTGAGCAACAAACCCTGGAGGTTGCTCCATATAAACCTCTTCCTCAAGAGCACCATGAAGAAACGCATTTTTGATATCTAATTGATGCAATGGCCAATCATGACACGCAGCCATAGAGATGACAAAGCGAACAGAAGTGAGCTTGGCAACTGGAGAGAAANGATCGGCAATGAAACTAGACTCCAAGTATGATTTTGCTCCAAGGCTTTCATCTCTTCTATCATGGCAGTACGCCATCCAGGATGAGAGAGTGCTTCTCTGACAGTTTTAGGAAGGGGGACAGAATCTAGAGAAGAGGTGAGTGCACAAGCAGTAGAAGACAAATGTTCATAAGAGACACAATTAGAAACAGGGTAGGTGCAGGATCGCTTACCTTTACGCAAAGCAATGGGTAGATCATCAGCATGATCAGGATCCAACGACGGAGTGCTTGACTCAGGGCGTGAGACTGGTGTAGGGGTAGGTGGTTGATCAGTCAAAGTGGCAGAAAGAGATTCAGGGATAACTGAAGGTGTAACTGGTTTTTTTCTGCGGGAGTAAACCTGAATGATGGGAGGCACACCAGTGGAGGGCGTTGTAGCACTAGAGGTAGTGTAAAATAAAATGTCACCAGAACCCTCCCCCTCATTTACAGAATCTGTAGGTGAAGAAAAAGGAGCATGCTCATGGAAACTCACATCGATGGAGACAAGATATCGACCAAGACTTGGACAATAACAACGGTATCCCTTTTGAACTCGGGAGTACCCCAAAAAGATGCACTTCAAGGATTTTTGGATCTAGCTTAGTGACAGATGGACGAACATCCCTTACAAAACATGTACACCCAAAGATCTTTGGTGGGACTGGAAAAATAGGTTTATCAGGGAAGAGAATATGAAATGGTGGCTGGCCACCAAGGACACTCGATGGAAGGCGATTAATCAAGAAACATGCCGTGGCAATGGCATCAGCGCAAAACATCTTGGACACTTTTGATTGAAACAAGAGTGCCCGTGCAGTTTCAAGCAGATGTCGATTTTTGCGTTCAGCTACTCCATTTTGGGCTGGAGTATCCACACACGAAGTTTGGTGGAGAATGCCACGGTCACGCATGTAGGCTTGGAAGGGACTGGAAAGATATTCTTTAGCATTATCACCACGCATAATTTTAAGAGGCATATTAAATTGGGTTTGGATTTCAGCACAAAACGAACGAAAGTGAGAAAATAACTCAGAACGAGATTTCATTAAATAGAGCCAAGTCATACGTGAATAGTCATCAACAAAAGTAACAAAGTACCGGAATCCGGGTTTTGACACAACCGAGCAAGGACCCCAAACGTCAGAATGAACCAACTCAAAAGGAGCACTTACCCGTAGATTTATTCTAGGACTCAAACTAACACGATGGTGTTTAGCAAAACTACATGATTCACATTCTAAAACAGAGAGATGTTGAAATTGAGGACAAATTTTCTTTAACAGGGACAAGGATGGATGACCAAGACGATAATGAATCTCAAGAGGTGACTCAATCCCAACACAAGCAGCTGCTTTAGGAATGGAAGTGTTGAGAAGATACAGGCCATTAGTCTCACGTCCTTCACCAATAATCTTCTTCGTCGTAAGATCCTGAAACACACAATGGTCAGAAAAGAATGTGACAAAGCAATTAAGATCACGAGTAAGTCTACTAAGAGACAACAGATTAAATGAGAAATTGGGTAAACTCAAAACAGAAGACAGATGCATATTTGGAGTTAGGATAACCGAGCCTGACCCAAGGACCTTAGATGTGGAACCATCAGCAAGGGTAACAGGGGAATGAGATG